CCTGCCTACAACCCTCTGTACTACAACCCTCTCCACTCAAATTTTTCTCAAAAAGCCCTTTTAAAACTACTCCATCCAATTGTAGCTTCTCTTACACCCAAAATTAATCGCTGTCATATTGCTTTTTTTTTGGTCATAGCACTAATTTCTTCTTGAAAACTTTTTAATGATTATCTCTCTCCCCATTTGAACCTAATGTCCTGCAAGCAGAAGCCTTTTCTGTCTTATTTGGACTTTTACCTCACTGCCTAGAACTGTGGTACACAGCAGGGCATACATGGTATGAAATATTTCTGCATAACTGAATACACTCAATTAAGATCTTTTTTTTGTAAATGTGCACTCTTTAGGGGTAGAGTATAGCTCAGTGGTACAGCATGTGCCTAGCATGCACAAGGTCCAGGGTTCAATCCCCAGTACTTAAAGATAAATAAAAATCTAATGACCTCCAATCCAAAAAAAGTTTTTTTTTAATGTGCACTTTCATTGTATCAATTTATCATAAATTAGTCAAATGGATTAAAGGCTGAACTGTTAAAAATGAAACTATAGACAAGTGACAAGATAATTTTATCTCCTATAACATTAAATTGATTAAATTGATGTGAAATCTATGCTTTATAGTCAATCTCCTCAACATGCTTTGAAAACATCTCTCATTAGTAAGTATTTATATAATTATATATGATGCTTTTATTGTTCCTTATATTGCAATTATAAAATGATTCCTTTGGGAACTGATACTGTTTAGTGTGATACAGGGGTGCAGAGTTACTGTTTCGTCTAAAATGTTTGGTTGTAGGTTCCAGCATCATGTACTGAATAAAACAGCCTGCTCTTCATTTTTAAATCAGATTCCTTCAGTGGCCCAGACGTGGCACAGGGACAACCAGGCGTCTTCTGTTCAGAGGGGCTCCCAGACTCTGCCACAGGACTAGGAAGATATCCCCTTCGGGGTTCTCCTTTTGTTGACTCTTTTTCTTTGTTGACTCTTTTTCTTGCTTTTTGACCCCCAATCCACAGTTTCAGCAGCAGGGATCAGAAGCAGAGACCAACCAGACATTTCTGAAACTGATCTTAGGAACACTGGCATACAAGTTGTTATGGAGCCAAAGGAGACTTGTTGAATCCTATAGTCAGGGTATGTTAAACTTATTAAGAAACTACCAAACTGTTTTCTAAAACGGTCCTGTTGTCTTTATATTCCTACCAGCATTCCTGTTCTGCACATCACTGCCAACACTTTGTACTGGAGTCTTTTATGTCCAGCCTTTCTGATGAGTGTGGTGTGGTCTCACACTTAATTCTTCACAGCCCAAAATATAAAATGGTCTGAATGTCCACTCACAGGTAGATGGACAGGCAAATGGTGGTACAGCCACACAATGACCGCTCAGCAATAAAAAGCAAACTACTCACAGGGAACTGTATTCAGTATCTTGTAAGAACCCTTAATGAAAACGAATATATGTCTCTATACGCATGACTGGGACGTTATGCTGTACACCAGAAATTTTTGTAACTGACTATATTTCTATTAAAAAAAAACTACTGAATGCCCACAACAGCAGCCACAGATCTCAAAAACATCAGACTGACACAAAGGACTGCTTATTGTATCATTTCATTCATATGTATCATTTTATTCAACAAAAGAAAAAAATAACCTATAGCGTTAGAAGAGACATCGGTGGTTGGGGTCAGCAGTGGGCATGAGATCTGACGGGGACAAAGCACAGAGGACGCTTTGGACTGATGGGAATGCCCTGTGTCTGGGCAGGAGTGGTGGTTATGCAGACAGACACTTACCAAAACTCATGGGACTTGATATCTATGTTGAAATAGGTATGTTTTAGTGTATGCAAATTTTATCAATAAACCATTTTTAAATGTGGTTCTGAAGAAAGAATGAAAATGGATAGATTAAAATTTGTTAAACATGTTTCAAAATAGCATGCCTAACCCCAAAAAAGGCAACGAGTGATCGGAGTTGCTGGCCTGGGCCTGAGGTCTGGGCCCTCTGGGGGACAGGTCTAGAACTGTTACACAAGAGGTGGGAAGTGCCCCAGATGCCCTGGTAACACACACACGTCCCAGAAGGTGTGAGGTAAACCCCGCAAAGATTTAGGAACCTGACACAGTGACACTTTTAGAAGTTTAGTGAACTGAGCAATGCTGGGACCTCCCTCTAAAGTAGGGGGCAAGGAGCTAAAATTCACACACACACCCAGAGAGGTATAACACATGCTGGGCCTCTTCGAATATGGAGGGCTGTTTGGAACACACGTGGTAATCCTACTCTGACCAGTGGTGGCGGGGAGGGCCTGGGAAGCTGCAGGCCCAGGGCTGGTGCAGGATGTCCTGCAAATGGAGCCTGTGATGCCGCAGCTCGGACTGTGTGAGCAGCACCCAAGGCACACAGGGTCCCGTGTGGGGTCTACTTCGATTCCTTAGAGGCACAGGGACCCCTGGGTTCGGCAGAGAGTGGCTTTCCATGAGAGAGTCCGGCGGACAACAGTGCTCCATGAGAGACTGAGCCAGTCACTCCGTGTGGCTGTTGACGGTGACAGCCGTCCAGAGGAGTGTTGGTTTCACTTCTGCTGCAATTCATCAAATTGGGGAAATGATTTGTTTGGGATCAGGCCTGGGAAAGCCCATCGAGCCTCAATAAAATGCAAAAGCAGGGAGTCCAGACTTCCTTGTCACGCACCTCAGCTGACAGGCTTCACGAGGACATCCCTGTGACCACGGGCCGAGGAGGAGATAACTCGGACCTGGTTCACAGATGTGCCAGCACCGTCTGGAAGAGACCACTGATGGGTGTTGTCCCCCCATCTGGAGAAGACCCTAAGGGACAGGTTTAAGGGAACCCTTCCCAGGGGTCAAAGCTAAGAGCAGGACACTTGGAACTCTGCTGCCTACAGAGGACGGGTGGCTGGTAATACAGACGTGGACTAATTTCTTAGCAGAAGTAATTGACTTGGCTGGTTGGTAGAATCCCAAAAGGAATGAAACTAGAACGTCAGGGACAAGGGAGTCCGAGGAAAAGGCAATGTGGCTGAACGCAGCACTCTGGACACAAAGCCTGTGGGTTTTTCTGTCTCACGTGAATGCCTAGAAGAGGCAGGAAAAGCAAAGGCGACGGCGTGTCTCGTCTTGTGTGTATCACGTGCTTCAGGTCCAGTGGCCCACGCTAAGGCAAAGAGGGTGTCACAGTGGGATCGTGCTCGAGGTTAAGTCCACCTGTGCTAACATGTACCTGCTTAGCCGGGGGCAGTCAGCCTGACAGAACAGGAGAACGGCCTGCTGACAGTTCCTGAGTCCTGCAGTATGTACTTGTGACCCAATTACAGGGTCTAGCCTAAAGGATATCCAGCGTCTATATTTTCTTTATTATAAAGATAAGACCTTCACAAACTGTCCATCTGTTCTGGTCTTAAGATCACATGATCAACTAGCCACTTCCAAGGGTTTCTGTAGGTCCAGCAGTCCTGGTCACCACCATGACCTCAAGCCTGCACACAGCAGTAACCATACCCACCTTGCCTCTCAGAACTAAATTTGGCCAAGAAGTCCGTTCCATCCCAGAATCCTAGAGGCTCCTTTGACATCAGGGGTCTCACTTCAGCTGCCACCTTCACCGCTGGTCTACAAGCACATTTTTCTAGGATACTGGCACTCCCCTCACCTGGTAATTTCTCAAGGCCCTAGCAGAAGAAGTGTCTTCTGGTCCCTCCTGGAGGTCATATTTGGGAGACCAAGTGAGTGAGTCACTCATGATAAATCTATATCAACAATCACATTTCCTTAAATCCCTGTTTTCTGCCAAAGAATTTCTCATATCTTAGTACTGGCCTCTGCCAAGTCCAGCTTTCAGCTAATTAACCAAACAGAAACGAAGGTACTGACAAGTCAACAAAATCAAAATCTCGTTCCTTATAAAAGCTAATAAATAAACTTCCGCCAACATGGAGCCAGAATAAAAGAGAATTAATAACATTATTAATGAAAAATTCAACATAACTACAGATACAGAGGAGATTCCAAAATTAGTAAGAAAATACTTATAATTTAATGTCAATAAAAAATTACTAGAACACTAGCAAATCAACTCCAACAATACATTAAATACATTACAAAGGTCGTACACCACGATCAAGTGGGATTTGTCCCAGGGATGCAAGGACTTTTCAGCACCTGCAGATCAATCAGTGGGCTACACCACATTGACAAACTGAAGAATAAAAACCGAACGATCACCTCAACAGATGCAGAAGAAGCTTTTGATAAAGTTCAACAACCATTTATGATTAAAAAAAGCCTCTCCAGAAAGTGGGCCTAGAGGGAACACACCTCAACATAATAAAGGCCCTGTATGACAAACGCACAGCTAACAGCGTGCTCAATGGTGAAGAGCTGAAAAAATTTCCTCTCAGACCAGGAACAAGACAAGGATGCCCACTCTCACCACTTTTATTCAATACAGCTTTCAAAGTTCTCGCCACAGCAATCAGAGAAGAAAAATAAAAGGAATCAAATCAGAAAAGAAGTAAAAAGTCACTGTTTACAGATGACATACTATACATAGAAAACCCTAAAGAAGCAACCAGAAAACCACTAGAGCTCATCAATGAATCTGGTAAAGTTGCAGGATACAAAATTAACATACAGAAATCGGTTGCATTTCTATACACTAACGACGAATCAGCAGAGAGAGAAATTAACGATAGAAAGTCCAGAAATAAACCCACACACTTATGGTCAATTAATCAACAAGAAAGGAGACAAGAATATAAAATGCAGACAAGACAGTCTCTTCAGTAAGTGGTGCTGGGAAAACTGGACAGCTTCCTCTGAAAGACTGAAATTAGAATATTCTCTAACACTGTATACAAAATTAAACTCAAAATAGATTAAAGACCTAAATGTAAGACCAGATACTAGAAAACTCCTAGAGGAAAACATAGGCAGGACACTCTTTGACATATATCACAGCAATATTTTTTTCCGAACCAGCTCTTAGAGTAATACAAATAAAAGCAAAAATAAATAAATGGGATCTAATTAAGCTCAAAAGCTTTTGTACAGCTAAGGAAACCATCAACAAAACAAAAAGACAGCCTACAGAATGGGAGAAAATATTTGCAAATAACGCAACCGACAAGGGACTAATTTCCAAAATACGCAAACAGCTCATACAGCTTAATAGCAAAAAAAAAAGCAACCCAATCAAAAAATGGGCAGAACACCTAAACAGACATCTCTCCAAAGACATCCAGATGGCCAACAGGCACATGAAAATGATGGCTATTCTGACTGGTGTGAGGCAGTATCTCACTGTAGTTTTGATTTGTGTTTCTCTAACAAGTAGTGATGTTGACGTGGGGGAGGCAGGAGGGTGTAGCCCAGTGGTACAGCCGTGCTTAGCATGCATGAGTTCCTGGGTTCAGTCCCCAGTACCTCCTTTAAAAACAAATAAATAAACCTAATTACCTCCCCCTCCACAAAAAATAAATTTTTTTTAAAAAAAGAATGACTGGCCAGTATGGGACCCCACATACACTGCATCAGACTCAAGGACGCACTTTGCAGCCCAAGGGTGTGCAAGACGATGGTGCCCAGCACAGGAGGACCCAGGACACCTCACACACCTCATCACACCTGCACCTGAAGCTGCTGTGCTCGAGCGCGTTGGGGCACCCCAGCCCAGCAGCAGTGACCCATCCGTGAGGAAAGGGCGCCAAATCCCTCGCCATCAGGGACAAGGACAGAGCGTCTTCCACCTCACTGTAAGATACAGATACGCCATGGGAACTGGGCTCCCAGCGCCCGCGGTCCAGCAGGTGGGAGGAGCTGCCATCCCTGCGGGGGTATGTGACACACCATGAGGGGAGGGCAGCTTTTACACACCAGGGCAGGGAGGAGTGAGTGTGAGTGGATCCAGCTGACCCACCCAAGTGCATCTGGGAGCTTCCTCCCCAGCTGTGATGGTAACTGCAGAAACACAGCAACTCGGGTCCAAGGAGGGCTCAGACGCCCTCGGGAATGAGGGACTGGGCACACCACCAGCCAGAGGTAGTGACAGTGAGGAGACTATGGACTGGATAACAGGCGAGAGAAAATGACAGCAGGGCTGTGCTTGGTCCCACTGACCTTCCTTCCTCAGTCGCTCCTGAGACATGCCCGACCCTGGGAAAGGACGTAAAGAGGGGAAGGGTGCACCGTGTCATCACGGGGACACATCACCCGGATCCCTCTTGCGAATGGAAAGTACTGCAGCCATACCAGTAAACACAGGATGCCGCCGCCATCAAGTCATTGCTGCCACCACCCCCACAGTGAGAGGAGGGAACTCAGGATGGAGACCAGCAGGCAGCCCGGCCCCTGCAGCCACCCAGAGCGCTGCCCCTGAGGGGACTCAGGATGGGAAAGCGCAGGGCACTGGCCCCAGACAGCTGAGGTGCAGGTCACAGAAGTGACTTCAGTGAGCCCAGACCTTTGCACCTTCCCACACACAGAAAAGCACAAGACTCCCTAACTTGGGATGCCTGGTTTTCTCTACTCAACAGTCATCTTTTGAAGTTCTGACTACTTGGTCTTTGCTGTAAAACTCATATATCCTGGCTCCTCCCCCACCTCTTCAGAGCAGTCCCTCAGAGCGATCGGAGAGGCTGTCATCCCAGACTCGAGGGGTTTGAGGACTCAGAAATGTCCACTGAGTAAAACCGTTAACTTTTAGGCTGTGCACTTATTTCCACTGACACTCTTTCTGGAGCGATTTGCTGCCCAGCGGCAGACTCCGCCACCTGCCAGCTTTTTCAGAGTTGGCCTCGGGAGAAGCGCGGCCTCTGCTGAGACTACTCCCTCTCCAGGGCAGCAATCTGCCTCTGGTGACTGGTGACTGAGGGTTCGATGGGCCTGACCATCTAGGCCAAACATGAGACCCCCTCATGAGAAAAACTTGCTTCTGTGCCCCCGCGGGTCCAGCCACCATTCCCAGAACCTACGGTGAAGAATGACTTCTGCCTCCAATCATCTTGCCTTTTTTATCCTTCACCACTTCATGCTGACCCTCGATAAACAGCCTGCACCCCAAACTTCATCACAGTATCTGCTTCGAGACCCCACCTGACGACACAGCCTGACCCTCCTGTTAGTTGGGAGTCCTCGGGTTGTCGGAAACAAACACAACTGGAGCCCGTTGACACAAACACGGGGTTTATTAGAAGAGTATCCGGGCTGTCTCACAGCAGAAGTCCGACAATCACGGCAGAAGGGCAGCGATGACTCTGGACATCAGACAAGAACCAGACCCTGGGGCTCCCTCGGCCCGGTCCTTGGCTTTGCTTCCACGGTGGCGTCCTTCTTCTCTCACCGCCGACTGTGCTTCTCCAGGTGGTAGAAACACAGCCACCCGCACCATTCGTGCTTAGGTACTAAAGCCTCAGCTGCTAAAAATGTACAAACAAGAGTCCCAGCTTCCCAGCTTTAGTGGGAAAGATAAAACACGCAACAGTTATCTCACCTGTGACAAAAAAGGGCAGGGTCACAGAGGCTGAGCAGGCGTTACCAAGGGACAAGGGCATCTCAGCGGCAGCAGATTTGTAAAACGCCTAAGGGGAGATTGTAGGAATCTCAGGGAAAAGAAAGCCAAAAAAAACTGTGTAAGAGGAAAGATAAAGTACTCAGAAACGATGGACAGGCATGAATTGTAATAAAAGTCCTCAATTACCATGACAATATTACACTCTCAGTCCACAGTACGGCACAGTGTTCCCACACATGTGTAATCAGATTACACAGGGGTGTGTATTTAGAATTGTGTCTTTTAGCTGCTGTGTGTACGTGTGGAAAATGGACTGAAAAAGGATGAAAGTAACAGGCAAAAAATGTGCACACAGCTGCAGGGGCCATGGCTGAGCTAGTTTATGAGCACTAAGGCCAGAACTAGGTGCTCAGTGTCTGAAAGCTCGTTGGCCCCAAGTCTGTAGACTAACAAACTCCCCGACACTGACAACCTGGAAACACACTGCTGGACGAAATGACCAAATGCCAGAGGTCTCAAGTGTAGCATTCAAAGGCCTCCTGATCTATCTTCTGCTACGTAATACAGATACTGGCAGAGAAATCCAGTACTTTGTGGATTCATTTCATCTCAGTGATGCTCTGGAAACCAAAACGTCAGGAACACATGGATCCATACAGACGTAGCTGTGCCAGGGGATATCAGAGTTAAATGCAAGGCAGTCCTGGGACAGGTCTCAAAATTCACAGACCGGACCTGTAAAACACCCACTGCTGAGTGAAAGGAATGCCGCAGGGCCTGTCCTCTGCAGGACTGTCTCCGGGCCAGAGGAAGAGCCTCGGTGTTGAAGGAGGAGGGATGGACGATGCTTCCTGCACCTGGTGTCCTCAAGTCCTCCATCTCAGCATCACTGAGTGTGCGTCAAGAAATCCTAAATAAACCTGGTCTAACTTTACACTGGCTTGCTTCTTGATGTGGTAGGAATCAACGAGGGGGCCGTAGAGACACAGTTTTTGTGGCTACCAACATAGTGTAAAAACCAGCACTCAGGGTCTCCAGCTTCAGGGCCCTCGTGTGACCCTTCAGAAGACAGAGGTCCCAGGGAGCGCCACACAGCATACCTGGGCCCCACACTGGGTATTCGGATAAATGAAAACTCTGGGGCCGGCATCAGCCTCCCTATGACTAAGACCTGGCCACGAGGAAAGAATCTTTTGCTCTTGGGTATTCAATCAAGAGGTAAGCGCTGAAGTTTCATCATTTTGCGAAGGCAGTGCTGAGTCTAACTGCTTAATAGTCAGTGGAATAATCTAGAATAGAGCTGAGCAAAATCAGGAAATTTTAAGACAACAGACCCCTGAGCTCAATCTAATGAATGAATCAATCTCTAATAAATCCATCTCTGGGACTAGGAAAGAGAACCAGGGCAGGTGGAAAGGAAAAAAAAAATGGAAAAAACCACGAAGTAAAACATCACACTGTGAATGTCTGTTCCTTTACAAAGGTCTGTTCCCTCCACCCAGGAAAGTGACTTCCAGGTATTCGAGAGAAAAGTAGGAAGTCCATAAATTTGAGTAGGAATAATAATTTGGGAAATGGGTTTTTTTTTTTAAGTTACCACGTGGAAAAACAGGATTAGCTGGCTGTCGAAATTCTGATGGAGTGGTTCATAAAATTACTCTCATTTACTTAAAGCCCCAACTTTTCAACAATGATGTTAACAACGGTAACTAAAGGGAAAAAATATGGCTCAAATCAAAGGTGCAATACACCATAATGACAAAACTTGTGCATAAGGGAGAGCCTGAGTCTTTCCAAGTTTGGAAACAAATGCTGTACTTGTCTAAATTTCACCATCATACAAAAAATACAGTTAACTTTGTCAAGCAATATTATAGAGAAATCACTACAAAATTCCAGTTCTCAAAAAGCCAATGGTTCATGCATTTTCACAGGGAACCACACTTACACAGTATCAACTGCACAATGTGTGGATGACGCAATAGGTGAAAGGCAGGTGAGACACAAATGTTTCAAATGATGAAACTATGAAAAAATTGTTCTTAATAACTTGTCCCGTAATCACCAAAACGTGCAGGAAGGCAAAATACACTTCCTTGAATACATCAAAAATATATTTCTCACCACAAAACTCTGTGTTGTACACTTTCTGAACAGTGACTCTTAAATACTTGATCTCTCCATTTAATTGTTTACAAGTTATTTTGCGAAAGACCAAAAGCGTTGGCAGCACAGAGTGCCCACGAAACTGCATCACAGGACACGGAAACACGGGTCACCCAGCGTGGGGATGCACACACCTGCTGCAGGGGGCGTCTCACTGCCAGAGGAAGGGCCCTGCACAGCACCACTGGCCTTGCGTCTGAGTGCCAAGCAGCACAATCCACACACCTCCTTCCTTGGCTCACGCTTCACTACTGCTATTCAGCAGTTCTACCCTTGAATACTATCCACCGGCTTTTCTGTGAACTGTTTCTCAGGCTCCGAGGATGCAGGCTTTAACATAAAGCTGGCGTTTGCTACTACTGACCCTTTTATGTGCCGACAAATCATAAGGAAACGAAGGTGTTGTGGTACTGGTTATGCTACTTACTGAGTTAGAAGACAAGCCACACTAGTTACCATTTTTACAGTATCATTAAATCAGAAAACACCAGCGACACGTGGTGTCCGGACAGACTCAGAGTGACAAGGTTTGTACATCCCATGCTCCCAATTAATTATCATGTGCGATTCCAAAACACAAATCACATCCTGTGGTACAGGAAAAGCTAGAGTTACACACCACTGAGAAATTTCTTACTTAGATGCTCCAATGATTCAATTTATTCACGTATTTTTTTAAAGCTTCATACTCAGAGTGAACATTTGTCAACCATTTAGAACTGGGTGTTTGGGGACCCAGGTCTATGAAAAGTGCGTGGCTTTCCATTATAGCATTATTTTTAGAAGCTTCTATTTCCAATGTCTTCAACGGTTAGGTCCAGCCACAGGAGACAATACGGTGAGGTTGCACGCTGAAGACTGAACCACAGTATTGTCACAGAGTTTCATTCTTGATGGCATTTTCTTATGTACAACGAGCCATCATTTCTTGATGAAAATATTCTGTGTTGCAACTGCAGCATGAATAGAGTTTTCCTTAACTCACTGGAATGGGGTTCATTCCCAGCTAATGAGACCTGCTCTCTGGAAGATTTTCTGATACTCAGTGTTCCTCTTTGCTGTCACTTTTTTATGGTGTAAGGTCTGACTGTGGTTTGAAAGGTTTCTGAAACTCACTGCTTTTCACAGGGTCATTCTGCTCTACAAATCCTGATACAATAAACACACTGATATGCTGAAAGCTCTCTCTACGTAACCTCCCTCAGTGTTCCTATCCTACAGGAGCACTCAGACGTGTGTGATGTGACTATTATCTGAGACATGAGGTAAGACCTCTGTCAACCCCTAGGGTTTCTTGGCTGTGTGAGTTCTCCGGTGATTGATGAGCTGTGACTTTTGGGAGAAGGCTTTCCCACATTCACTGCACTGGTAAGGCTTCTCTCCTGTGTGAATCCTCTGATGGTTAACAAGCTGGGACTTCTGAGAGAAGGCCTTCCGACATTCACTGCACCCATAAGGCTTCTCTCCGGTGTGCGTCCTCTGGTGTGGAATGAGGTGTGATTTCCGAGAGAAGGCTTTGCCACAGGCGCTGCACTCAAAGGGCTTCTCTCCTGTGTGTGTCCTCTGATGATTGATGAGGCTTGACTTCTCCCTGAAGGCTTTCCCACATTGACAGCACACGTAAGGCTTTTCTCCTGTGTGAGTTCTCTGATGTCTGACTAGCTCTGATTTCTCAAAGAAAGCTTTCTGACAAAGACTGCACTCATAGGGTTTCTCTCCTGTGTGAATTCTCTGGTGGGTGTTGAGCTGTGACTTCTGGGAGAAGGCTTTTTCACAGTCCCTGCACTCATAAGGTTTTTCTCCCGTATGGGTTCTCTGATGAGTTGCAAGACTTGACTTCTCACCAAAGGCTTTCCCACATTCGGCGCATTCGTAGGGTCTCTCCCCTGTGTGAGTCCTTTGATGGGATATGAGGTGTGACTTCTGACAAAAGGCCTTCCCACACTCACTGCACACATAGGGCTTTTCTCCTGTATGAATTCTCTGATGATTCGTGAGGCTTAATTTTTCACTGAAGGCTTTCCCACATGCACTGCATTCGTAGGGTTTTTCTCCTGTATGAGTTCTCTGATGTCTAACAAGCTGGGATTTCCTACTGAAGGCCTTCCCACACTTACTGCATACAAAGGGCTTCTCCCCCGTGTGTGTCATCTGGTGTGAAATGAGGTGTGACTTCTGGGAGAAGGCCTTCCCACACTGGATGCACCCGTGAGGCTTCTCTCCTGTATGGGTTCTCTGGTGGTTGATGAGACTTGACCTCTCTCTGAAGGCTTTCCCACACTCACTGCACTCATAGGGTTTCTCTCCGGTGTGAATTGTCTGATGTCTAATGAGCTCTGACTTCTCAAAGAAGGCTTTTCGACAGTCGCTACATCCGTAGGGTTTTGTTCCCGTGTGGGTCCTGTGATGTGTCACAAGCTGTGACTTCCTGCTGAAGGCCTTCCCACACTCTCTGCACTCAAATGGTTTCTCCCCCGTGTGAATCCTCTGGTGGTTGATGAGATTTGACTTCTCACTGAAGGCCCTCCCACACTCACTGCACCCGTAGGGTTTCTCCCCTGTGTGTGTCCTCCAGTGTGAGATGAGGTGAGACTTCCGGGAGAAGGCCTTCCCACACTCGCCACACTCGTATGGCTTTTCCCCTGTGTGTGTCCTCTGATGGGAGGTGAGCTGTGACTTCTGGGAGAAGGCTTTCCCACACTGGCTGCAGTTGTAAGGTTTCTCTCCCGTGTGAGTTCTGTGATGTGTAATGAACTGTGACTTCTGGGGAAAGGTCTTGCCGCATTTACCACAGCCATAGGCTATCTCTCTCACATGTCTGCTCTGGTGTTTAATGAGACTGGATTTCTTACTGAAGCGTTTCCTACATTCGCTGCATTCATAGAGCTTCTCTCCTAAACGATTTCTATGATAAATGATAATCTGTGACTTCCTATAACTAGCTTTATCACACTGACCACATTCATAGTATTTTAGCCAAGTGTCAGTTTCCTCAGGCTTGGTGGGGAGAAACAGTTTACCCAGTACATTTAGGTCAGCTGGTTCCATTTTCCCATAATCTGCTTTTGGAATAAGTAAATCTAAATGATGTTTTAAAATGAATCCATCTACGTCACCTTCACTGTTTGATTTCCTTAAAGGAATAAAGTTCATGCTCAGATTGAAATGTTTTCCAAATGCATCACATTCATGATCTTGTTTCATATTTTTCAGCTCCTCTTGGTTATCCTTGTGCCAAGTCATATGACCATTTACTTGCAAAACTTGTTCTATGAAGAAAAAAAATCCTGTGAATCCCTCTATAGTTGCACTGACTGAATAAAAAACCAGAAATGCTATTTGAGGGGAGGAATAACTTTAACGCTTAGTTTCCTAGTCTCAAGTAAGTCCCAAGTACAGTATCTGCCCGCTAGGTAGTGAAAAAATGTACATGCTGTACACAGGAACCGGCAACAGTACATTAAGTTACCTTTGGTTGCCTTCAAATAACAGTTTATAAAATGGAGAGAATGTGAAAAATACATGAACAGCAATGAGGAACAAAGAAAGGAGGTTGCAGGAAGCACTGATGCCAAGTTCTGAGGAACTAACTCACTCGACACCCACAGAGTACAACCACATTCCAGGTGGTGTGGGAAGGGCTGGAGTCACAAGACGACAAGCCCCGCCATTACGAAAAGTACATTCCATGAAAAAGGTAACAAGCAGATAATGTGAAAACCAACACAAGTGTACACTGTGCTGAATACTAAGAAGAAAATCAACAGGTTTGACGAGAGTAAATGGCAAAAACTACTTCCAGATTGGAGAATGAGAAATAGTTGTGTACTTCTTCCCATTCTCAAATCTCCTGAAAGTTTTATTTAAACTTATCATATACATTTTCAACATGATTACCAAGAAACCCACACACTGCAAACCCATCATCTTTCAAATACACTGTTCAGGCACAAAACTTTAAAACCCACGTGTTCTTTCATGGAAATGCATTCTTAAACTATTCTGACAGCTCAGCTGCAGTTTACTGCATGGCTCTATTTCACTTTCCTCACTAAATAAGCACTGATACCAGTGATATCAATGTTTTTTAAAAGGTTTACTTTTCACTAATAATCTATACTTGGAATTTTTTCTGAGGTCATGCCTATAGGTACAAAAGACCATCAGTAATGTGAAATACTTTTTAAGGACTGAAATGTCAATAGAGGGCAAAAAATTTGCAAGAAACCCACAGCTTGCTGTTGGCCATATATATTTGGGAGGAAGAAGCAAGGAGATGGAGTTGATGTGAAGGGGATTAGGAAAAGTAAAGTATCAAGAATGTATCCCAACATTGTAAACTGTCTATACCTCAATAAAAAAAAAAGTATAAATGTCAAAAAAAGAAAAAAAAAGAATGAGCCCTAAGCTTGGAATCTGAGCAATTCAGGGCATTCCAGGGTTAATTACTGAGTTGGGAAGACTGAGAGAAAAGGAGATCTGGAGATTAAAATCAAGAGCCTGTAACAGACAGGGAGAGGGTGGGAAGGGATAAACTGAGAGTGCAAGATTTGCAGATACTGACTGGTATACATACAATAGATAAATAAGTATATGCTGTACAGCACAGGGAAATATATTCAGTATCTTGCAGTAGCTTATGATGAAAAAATATGAAAATGAATATATGTATATTCATGTATGACTGAAGCATTGTGCTGTACACTAGAAATTGACACAACACTGTAAACCAACTATGCCTCAATTTAAAAAAAAAGTCTATGATAGACATGAATTTTGAGATGTACATTACGAATTTGAATAAAGTGGCCTCAGGAAATGTGACAGCTGAAAATGGAGTACTTGAAAATTAAATTTATAATTGTGTATTACTTTAAATGTTGCATTATCCAACTAAGTACACATTTGGAAATTTTATCTACCTTCCCCCACATCTTTGCTCAAATTTTTCCCCACTAGGAAAATGGGATTGCTCTGTATTTGGTCATCTGTAGTATATCCCAAATACCTCAACTTTATCACTTTTCTCTGCTATAGTTTAATCCATCTGATTATTTCAATGAAATATCTTTCTAACTGGTTTCTCTGCTTCCAATTACATTTTTCCCTCTATGGTCAGGCTGTAATTTTAAAAATGTAAATCATGTAATTTTACATTTATTTAAAATTAGACTATAGCTCAGTGGGAGTGTGTGTGCTTAGCATGCATGAGGCCCTGGGTTCAATTCCCAGAACCTCCATTAAAATAAATAAATGAGTAAACTAATTACCTCACCACACATACAAAAAGTTGACTTTTACTTAAAATTAGTTGAGCCAATCTACACTCCTCCCGCCAGTTCACAAGCAGATCCATGATCCAGCTCCTGCACTCTCTGCAACCTGTCTGCCAGGCACCCTGACCTTCAGACACACAGGCTTTCCTCCCGCTTCTCAGTGTCACTGAGCCCCCTTCCTGACGTAATGCACTCATATCTGTCACTCCTTTGGGAAACATGTTCCCCCAGCTCTTCACACAGCCTGTTCACCTCAGTCTTCATGTCCAGGGTTGGCCACTCCACGTTACTCTCTGTATGGACTGAATGTCTGTGCTCCCCCAAGATTCATGTGTTCAAATCCAAACCCCCAGGGTAGCTGCATTTGGAGATGGAATTTCCAAGGAAGGAAACAAGGTTAAATGAGATCATGAAGGCTGGGGCCCTGATCCAACAGATTAGTGTACTTACCAGTGACGCCAGGGAGGCCCCCTACCTGCACCCACGGGCGGGAATGAGGAAAGACCATGGGAAGACAAAGCCACAAGCCAACAAGGCGGCTGTCTAAGCCAGGAAGACAGCTCTCACTGGCACCTGAGCAGGCAGCACGTTCGTGTCAGGCTTCCAGCCTTCAGGATTGTGAGTGACTCTGCTGTTCACACTGCCCAGTCTGTGGTGCTTCGTTACAGCACCTGAGTGGACGAACACTCCTACAGTACCACCTGGTTTACTTCTGCAATAGCCCCTTCAGGGTCTGGGTTTTCTCTTGGTCAGTTGCTAACCTGTTCCTGTTGACCCTCCCACTAGAAAGCAAGCATTACGTGGGCAGGAGTATCTAACTGTCACTGCTGTAACCACAGCGCCCAGCACAGTGCCTGAGAAGTGTAAGGGATCAGCACATGTTCCATTTCCTATGAACTGCACAAGCAGTCTGTGCACTGGGCCTGAGGCTGCTCCGCACAGACAGGCCTCCTGGCCAGGCTAGCCCACAGCTGGCATTTGGGAACTTGCGTTTGGGGAGTGTTTCCACCATTCCCTAAGTGACAAAACTGGCTCCCTGGGCCTCAACTGTGTACAAATAATATGGTCAGTGCTGAGTGCCTGGTCTCCTTCTGGGAGTAAGAAGTGCTGGTGCAGGCAGAGGGCCTACGTGACCACCCCCAATATAAAACCCTGGGCAGAAACATCACATGTGTTACTGCATTCTGAGTGCACCGAGTGAGCTGTGTGGCCCTCCTAGGGTGAGCACAGGAAGCCTGCACACAGACTCCTCTAGGCTCAGCTCGGGCCTTTCCCCTTGTGATGCAGCTGTGGGTCCCTGTTACGTCACTGCAACAAACCTTAGACGTAAGTACACCTGGACCCTGAGTCTTTCCAGAGACTCTCTGAACACAGCAGAGGTCTCAAGGACCCCAACACACGGTCCTTCTCTATGTAAATTTTGACAACGAACCCTGAACTGCAAAGTAATGCAACCTGAAGTGCTCAACGTTTAAATTTTGGGGGAAAAAAAAAAACTGGATGCAAACGTCTCATCTTCTTAACTAAGTTCTATGCTTCTGGAAGGTATTTTCTAGGTCTCTTACTTTTCAATTATTTTTTGCAGTCCCTGAAGTGCTGGGTCTCAATAAGGATGCAAAAATCACAAGAGATTTCTCAAATTACAATTCCACTCCTGGAATACCAAGTTTAAAAACCACACATACATCACTCTACCGAACCAGTTTCTAGTAATGGGTCCGTGACGCTCATTTTTGGGGGGAAAAAAAAGCCCACATAATCAGACGCACATCTGGCTAAAAACACCTGTGTAACAATGGCCTCGTGGAGAGATATTTATTGAATGGGTGTTAGGTGTCCCATAACTGAAGACATTAAATTATAAGCCTTTGCGTCTGTGTGTACAAACGAGGCTCAGGGAACAACAAATGAAAATTTATTGCATACACTGCAGTGGGGTCTGGAATGGGACTTGGGAAGAAGGTGAGGAAAGGGTAGGCTGGAGCAGACAGGAAACATTTCATGGACAGGAGTGCAGTGAAGACAGAGTTTGTGCAGAAAGGATTAGTTTCTAGACAGAGACAGCACCACACAATCAAAAGGTCAGACACAGAGAATAAATACTGTGTTTCTGAAAACACTGAGAAATGCTGAAATGGAGCCGGGGAAGGGAGAACCAGCTGGACAGGCCACACAGGCTCACACTGTCAAGTCCCTGAAGAAGAGGTCCAGCCTGTTGCCTCACCTCCACCTTCAGCTACTTGCAGAGGACACTGCCACTTGGGCCAGTGGTGGGGGCCACCCTGGTACCCACACCTCTCCACCGAGACCTTCCCTGGGCTGCAAGTGCATGCCCCAGGGCTGTGTGCAGGGCCGCTGGACAATCTGGAGCCCTGGTGTCCCCGTAGCAAAGCTCAATCACTGAGGGGGGAGGGGGAGGGGGACGTCGCTGTCTGGTCTTGGGAGGGCTCCCGGCAGCACTGAGCGCCGGCCTGTGGCAGCGAAGCCGCACACCCTTCATGGCATCCCCCACCCTGCCCCTTCCCACCTCCCTTCCCCCCGCTGCACGGCGGGGATCACACCCCCATTAAGTTCTCGCACTCAGATCAGTGTCTCTGGGTCTGCTTTCGAGGGAACCTGCAGTCAGTCCCTGCCACACAGCAAGTAGCAGGAGGAGGGGGGTTCAGTGGGTCTGCGTGGTGCTGGACCTGTCAGAACTCAACACGGTGTGGGGGGGAGAAAACGCACAGAAGAAGAGAACCTGGACCTACCCAGCAACTTGGGAAATTTAGGAAGGGGACATCACAGGCCTAGTTTTAAGTGGGAGTTGAGAAGTCTCTAAAAAGGTGTCTTCCAAAGGGCAAAAAACTTAAATAATTAGAGCAAAATGGTAGAGAGTTCAATGTACTCCATGGTGTCTAAGCCACAGAAACAGCACACCAGAACCTAATTTAAAAAGGGAAGAAATGGGGAGAGGGTATAGCTCAGTGGTAGAGCACATGCTTAGCATGCATGGGGTCCTGGGTTCAATCCCCAGTACCTCCATTAAATAAATAAATTAGCCTAATCACGCACCCCCACAAAACAAAACAAAACAAAACAAAAACAAAAAGGGAAGAAATGGACAAAGGGTTTGGGACGGATGATGACTGCATTTTCTGGCATGAGACTGAACTCTGCAGGGCAGGTTTAGGCACATTCAGAGACACCCGAAGTGGGGGAAAATAAAAACCCGCCATGCAGGCACAGGGGTCTCCAACTGCAGGGGAGGGGAGGGCCAGGGAGGCGAGCCAGGTCAGGGGATGGAACACCTAACAGGAAGTCGGAGTCTAGATGTGACAGCCAGGGCGTAAACAACATCACGGCCCCGAGCCTCTGGAAACACTTCACCTGGAGCTGCGAGCACAGCTGCCCCGTGCGGAAGCGCTTTACCTGAGCGGCCCCCGCCGGCTGCTGTGCACCACCACCACGGGTCCTAGGGATTCTGAAAAGAGCTCAGGCACATGTCAAAGACGCCAACACCCCGCCCCGCCCTGCGCCAAGCAGCTGCGCCTGACCCCGGCGGCCGGGTTCTCACACTTACCCACGGCGTCTGCCCTCGGCGCTCCTCCGTCTCCTACCCACGGCTCTTCCCCCCGCTCCAGCTTGAGGATGACACCAGGCTTCGTCACTTTGTACCCTGTTCAGGAAAATCGCAAAGGCCTTTAGGGCCACTGAACAATGAGCAGGGTCTGGAATGAGTGGACCCAGCAAAGCCACCCACCCAACTGTGTATCAACAGAGTAAACGATTCTCAACAGAATGAGGGTCTTCCCGTGGCTAACAAGGTCTAAGAATCTTTCCCTTCTGTTATTCAAGCCCAAAACCACAGACACTTCCGAGGCTCCATCCAGCCTGCCTGGTTCAAATGCAGGCTCCTTCAATCACTAGCAGTCAGTCCTCAGGAAAGTTACTTAAAGTAAGCCCTCTTTGCCTCAATTTCCTCGTTAGGAAAAAAAGAGGAGAGTCATCATCCCTGCCACACAGGGCTGCTCTGACGAGCACGCGCGGCAGCACACGGGGACCACAGCGAGTTACGGGCCAGAGGTGCCACCGCTCCCACCGGTCCTATCAGTTTCAGGGGCTGCACAACGAAATGAAGGCTTCGTTAGCAGTAAGTGAGAGCCAAGCACCTTCCCTGGTGTGCCAGCCCAAGGAACTCTGATCTCCTACATTTAGGTCCAGAATCATTCAGAATACTGAAAGCTCTCCGCAACTAAAGAGAGAAAAAGCCAGGTCCTGGGCACAACACGAGGCCCTCTGCGCAGCTTTTCTTACCCAGCGACACCAGGCTGCTATAGTTCTCCAACATGACATCCCTGTACAAGTCCTTCTGATTGGGCTCCAGCAGCTGCCATTCCTTCTGGGTGAAGTCCACAGATAAGTCTTCAAAGGCGAACGAGTTCTGTAAGACACAAGCCTGGGGATCAGGCGCAGGCGTCAGGACAGGAGGTGGGATGGCAGGCTTGCGGGGGAGGGGTCAGGCGCAGCTGCTCAGGGGGTCGGCGTTCAGAAGGAAACCTGAAAGACGGTCCAGAGAAAGTATCCATTTTGAGCAAACAAGAGAGAAAGACTTAAAAATGGACAAAGCTCAGGTCACTGCCAGACAGAGTAAATCCGTGTCATGGGAGTCCCAGAAAGAGAAAAGAAAAAGCATGGTGAAAAAAAAGTTTCTGGAAATGACAGCTGAGTGCTCCCCTAAATTTGGCAAAAGATACAAGCCTACAGATTCAAGAAGTTCAGTGAACCCACAACTGGACAAACACGAAGAAATCCATGATCGGTCGCATCATAATCAAATTGCTACAAAAAGAAAAGTCACATCACTTCCAGGGAACAGTGATTTGAATGACTGCAAAAGACTTGTTGAAAAGCGCAGAAGGAAGTGCTGAAGGAAGACCCTGTTGACCCAGAATTCTGTGGCCAGCTTAAACATTCATCAGGAGTAAGTGTGAGATAAGGTATTTTTTTACAAAGAAAAACTAAGAATGTAAGGGCAGCAGACTTATTTTAAAAAAATAAGCAGAATATCTGAATACATTTTAATAGAGAAGATAGAGACATGGCTAATAAGTACATGAAACGATGATCAACCTCATTACTTCGTAAGGGAATGCACACTGAAACCACAATGAGACACTACTTCACAGTCACTGGGATGACTGTGATCAGAAAGACAGACAAAACAAGATTATACTGTATACCACAGGGAAATATATACAAGATCTTGCGGTAGCTCACAGCGAAAAAAATGTGACAATGAATATATGTATGTTCATGTGTAACTGAAAAATTGTACTCTACACTGGAAATTGACACAACAGTGCAAACTGACTATAACTCAAAAAAAATGTTTAAAAAAAAAGACAGTAACAAGTGTTGGGAAGGACGTGGAGAAACTGGAACTTCATGCTGGTAGCAATAAAAAATGACACTGGAACTATGGCAGTTTCTTAAAAAGTTCAATATAATTTTACTTTCACGTACGTACCCAACAGAAATGAAAACACAGGCTCATACAAAAACTTGTACCCAGCTGTTCATGTTAACGTTACTTTGAACACCAAAAAGTAGAAATAATCCAAATGTCCATTAAGTGGTGAATAAATAAAAAGTCACATATCCATACCCTGGAACACTCTTTACAATAAAAACTTCTAACCTAATACATAGATGGACCTCAAAAACACTATGCTAATTTAAAGAAGCTAGACACACAAGATGACACATTTACAGAAAGCCATCTGTGTGACACATACAAGCGGGAAACCCATACAGAGAGCAAGCAAATTCGTGGCTGCCTCAGACCGGGGGTGGGAGAGGGGCTGACTGCAAATGTCACAAAGACTCTCTTGGGGTGACGGAAACTTTCTAAGACTGGACCGTGATGATGGCCTTCTAAAACTGGATTTACACAACATAAAGTTACTGGGGAAAAAAAATCACTGGATTGTACACTTAAAATAGGTAGATCCTACTGAGGTTGTACTGCAATAAAACTGTTGAAAAGAAAATATAACATTAATACATTTATGCCAACATATTTGACAACTTAGATGAAATGGATTTATTTCTTCAAAAACAATGTACTCAAAAGTGACACAAGAAAAAAGAAAGTCTGAATTAATCATAACTCTTAAAGGAACTGACCCCCAGAATTTAAAACCTTTCTTCAAAGAAAACTCAAGGTCTAGATGATTTCAGAGGTGAATTTTTTCCAACGTTTAAGGAATAAATAAAACGACCTCACATAAATTATTTCAGAGAACAAAGAAAGAGTGCAGACTACTCAACTCATTTTATAAGGCCAGCAGAGCTCCAATCTCAAATCAGACAAGAACACAAGAGGAGAACATTATAGGCAAGTAACTCTTACAGAATCAAAATTCCTAACAAAATATTAGCAAATCGAATCTAGCCATGCATAAAAGGCATAATATGGCCTGATCAAATGAGGTTTCCTTCAGTAGTGTACTATACTCATTCAGACATCATTAAGTCATACTAACAGAATAAAGGAGAAAAAACATTACCACTTCAACAGATGCAGGAAAGGCGTGTGAGGAAAAGCTGTTCATCGTAAAATATTATCAACAAGCCAGAAACAGAAGGAAATCTAATCTGATAATCACAACCTACAAAATATCGACAGCTAGCATCATACTTAATGTTAAAACACTAAATACTTGCTCTCTGAGGACTAGAATGTGGTCCAGCAGAATTCTCTATGACTGAAACTTTCCACATCTGCACCATCTAATACAGTAGCCACTGGCCACCAGCGTTCACCGAATGCTTCACAGGTGACTAGGAACTGACTTCTTAATTTTAATTAATTTAAACAGTACGTGTAGCTAACGGCTACCTGCTGTATAATAAAGACAGTCAGTTCTTTGTCCCAGGATCCTGGGATAGAGCGTCTAAAGCCTTGGAATCTCCCCAGGGACTGGCACTTCCTTTGTTATTGGTGGTGGCCCCCCACCCCCTAGTTTGATTAGAGGCCATGTGGTTAGAGAGTTGGGGCTTCGAGCCAGAAGCTATCAGTGCAACCTCCAGGGAGGGGAGCCAGCTGGAGAATGAGTTCAGCCCCCATGGCCAGTGATTTCACCATTCGCACCAACACAATGAACACCCAATAGGAACCCTGGATACTGCTGCCCTCGGGTAGCTTCCTGCTTGGTAAGGCAGACAGATGCCAGGAGGGGGTGAGTCCCAACTCCATGGGGAAAGGGCGCAGACCTCACATGTGGGACCCCCAGACCTCACCCTGCGTCTCTCCATCTGGCTAGTCCCTGTTTGTGTCCTTTACAATAAAACCACAGGCTTTAGGTACAGCACTCTCCTGAGTTCTGTGAACTGTTCCCACAAACCTGAGAGGGGTCATGGGAAGCCCCCAAATTTGCAGCCAGTGGGTCAGAAGTGCAGGTGGCCTGGGGGCTCCCAAACTTATGGCTGGCAACTGAAATGAAGGCACCCTTGTGGGGGACTGCACCCCCAAGCTGCAGAGGCTGTGCTGACTCCAGGCGGCTGGAGTCAGGGGTGAGAATAGCTGTAATGTGCTATGTAGTGGACAGTGACCGCCTAGGGAAAGGCAGGGGTGTTCCTAATGCCACTTCTGTCCACCAGGTACTGCGGGGTCAGGACTGGCCAGGAGGCCAGTACAGTAAAATGCAAGGATAAAGTGTAAATGCTAAAAGGAAGACGTAAAACTGTCACAGATGGGGTGACTGCCTAAACAACAACCAAACAACCCTAAAAACACTTCGAATTAGTTAACAACGGATATCCTTCGAGACCACACCAAAACTAATCAACTGGTCTCACACAGATGAGTTGCCACGTAGAATCTTCAACTTTATTAATGAACCTCTCACATTCTGTTGTATTAAAATCTACCATTTTATCTGGCCCTTTAAATGTATCATTTACTCATTAATGACTTTATAAATCATGCAATGGTCAGGTGGAAAACACTGGACCTGAGTTTCAATCTTCTCACAAAAAAATGGCTTTACCAGTTAATTGTCAATATTTAATACAGAAATCATTCCAATTTTACTAAACCCTTACAGAATACGGAAGCAAGAACATAACTCTAAACTTTCTGATCCTAGCATGACCTTGATAACAAAACCCAATAAGGATACTGCAGGGGAAGAGCAAAGGCCAACTTACACCTGAACACTGATGTAAAAATCCTAAACAATGTCACCAAACTCCTATACCAAGCAGTATATAAAAGAGAAAATACATCAAGACTGGAGTTTAAGCTGGAGTTTATCCCAAAACTTCAAGGCTGACTTAACAGTTTTTAAAAAAAAAATGATAGTCATTACCTTAACAGATTAAGAAAAAGCATATAATCACTTCAAAATCTGTAAATGGAAGAATGTATATTGCAAAGAACTACAGATAACAGAAAAATCTAGCACAGTTTTTAAAAAGCATGTTAAAAATTTTCAAAAAGGACTAGATTTCCCAAGGAAGAAGTGAAAGTATGAAAAATAAGAAGAGGAAACAAAGAACAAAATGAACACACCAAAAATTGAAGAATACTCAGTATTTATCTGTTGTAGAAAGTTTTAGCAAACTAGGAAGTCAGTGGAATTTTTTTCTCCTGGAAAAAAAAAAAAAGCATGGCTGATATTTTTCCGAACATGGAAAAATCTAACCAAATCTAAAGAAAAATTATTAGAATAAGTAAATGGGCTTAAGAAGTTCCTGGATACCAAGACAATATACAAAAAATCTGGTATAGGTCTGTGTTTTGGCAACAAAAACTTTTAAAATTAGTAACTAACTTGTAAGATAATAACTAAGTTTTATAACATTAACTGAAGGTCTGGGGCAGAAAACGTACCAAGTGAGCCTTGATCTACCTTGTCATGCTAGTAAGCAGCATTCTAGTTAAAAATAAGGAAGAAATGTTAGCAGGAGGATGTCAGCATTTTGCAGTCCCTAATGAAACAGTCCACCTGGGCAGGAGTCACATAAAGCTGTCAGCAAGACAGACAAGCAGACCGTACGCACGTCCCAAGAGAAGCATGTGCCATGACCTCTGAAGCATTCCTGCCAAAGTCAACCCTGGATCTGACCAAGCCTGCAGAGCAGATCTGTCCCGTGGAACTTTCTGGATGATGGGAATGCTCTTTATCGGTGCTGCCCAATTTGTGGCTGCCCAACCTGTGGCTACCAGGCCCTTGCACACTGGCCTCCGTGACTGAGGGATTTACTTTAATTAACTGGGATGTGGTGGGGCTTCGACACTGGACAGCCCAGCCCTGCAGCTGCCGATTCATAAGAAGCAGGTGACGGACAGGTTAACAACACTGCAGGGGTGTGGCTAGCAAAATGATGACACAACCCACTGCAGCATCTATGCAAAGGCTTCAGACAGTGCAAACTACAGATAAATGGCCTGGTTTCTTCACCAAGTACCTGGCGAGAGAAAACCAGAAAGCGCCAACAGATTAAGAGACAGCTCAATCAACTGCACCGTATGAACTGTACTGAGATTCTGATTCAAACAAACTACAAACAACTTACAAATCTATGAGAACTAGAAATTGGATACTGCCTGGATTCAGTGATATTAAGAAGCCACCTTCATGGGAGAGAAGTCTGCAACTGCGATGAGTCTACAAACAAAACGTTAAGTGACAGAAGCAAAACACAAGATGGCACACAACAGCAGACAGAAGCAAACTGTGGGGTTCAAGAGTGAAGACCACAGAGGAGTGAAGTTAGAAAGAAGAGCAGGAAGGGTTCTAAAAGTCGGGGTCCTGGCCCCCTCTGTCAGGGGAGACGCCGTGATCGGGAGAGGGCACAGGAGGGCCTTATCTGGGCTGGGAATGATCTGGTTCTTGAAACGATACTGTGGTTTCAGGATGTTCATCTGATGATACGTTAAGCTGCATTTCTACATTTTATGAACTTTTCTGCTTGTGGATTCTGCTTCACAATCAAAGAGGTCAACAAATAAATTTAATTATGGGGACTAAGTTCTGCTCTGGCATCTTCCCCTTGGGTCACACACTGGGGAAAACCATGAAAAATGGCAACAACCATAACTGTGTATTTATTACAGCATTTCTCTTTAGAGAAGCCCACTTATTTATTTAAAGGCTTCATCAAGGAATGGCCAACAAATATTCACTTTTTATGAAAAATCAGTTTGCTTTTGCATTTGGCTAAAGCAACTTATATGGACATAATTATTGATTACACCTGCCAAAAATTTGAGACCCTAGTTTACAGCTCAAATTCAATAATTATGCAGGACACTATGGCTTAGAAAAATCCAAACTCTAAGACCTTCTCAGGCTCACTTTGGCAGCACTTATACTAAAATTGGAATAATACAGAGAAGGTTACCATGGCCCCTGCACAAGGATGACATGCAGATTTGTGAAGTGTTCCATATAAAAAGATATAAAAAATTTCTCCTGTATAACACAGGGACTATATTCAGTATCTTATAATAACCTTTAATGAAAAAGATTATGCAAATGAATATATGTATGTATATGCATCACTGAGACATTATGCAGCTCACCAGAAATTTACACATTGTAATTGACTATATTTCAATTAAAAAAAACTTCTCAAGGCCCTATAGTTAATACACCACTGCTTCAGTTTTGTCCCAACCTGGATCTTCCATTATTTTCCCCTGATTTCTCAACCACTTACTCTTTTCTTTTTCACTAGAAGACTAACATGCCTCTTCTAATCCCCCAGGAAAATAATGAGGAATAAACCCCAACTCACTGGTAACGTGGTCATCTCAGCTGCCTGTTCGAGAAGGTTAGCAAGTCCGAGATGTGTTCTATCCTGTGTCCTCTCTTCTGCCCCAGAGCCCTCGTGCGAGGTCTTGGCAAGGTCTTCTACAGCAAGAATGAGTTCCTGACTCCAGGAAATCCTTTCTTGTCTCACAGGAGCAGGCTTATTGTGGGGAACCAGGATCTGCAGGCTGAGGAACAAATACACTTCAACTGGTATATTCACAATGAGCCTAGAATCTTCTCTCTTGCTAAGAACTAGGAGTTCATGATCATCCGAGGCTGGACTGTGTTTTCTATATGACAGAAACAGGGCAGCCAGGGACAGAAGCAATATAGCATAAAAGAACAGCAGAAGCACACAGATAAAGAAGAACCAGATGTAAGTAATTCAGAGATCCAGACAATGGTCACTGTGCACAATGAAGCATAAATCAATTGACAGGGTGCTTGAAGGACAAGGTACCTCCATTTTAAGCAGATGGAATTTTGAAAAGCTTATGTGATTCGTAAAACAGATTGGGGTTCAATCAACATTTTCCCTTTACTGGCTATGTGACATCGGGCAAAAACAAACAAACTTAATCTTTCTGAGCCTTAGTTTCCTATTAAAATCTTCTATAACTTTCCTAATTTATGTCTGCCAATTCTATTCAATTTCTGAAGGAAGTATCTTAAACTCACTCAGTGTGATCATAGATTGGTCAGTTTTTCCTTGTAATTCTGTTGATGTTTGGATTATATGTTTAAGGTTATGTTATTTGATGCTCTATCACTGAGCTATACCCTCCCCCAACCCTAATGAAAATTTTTAAACAAAATTTAAGTATCTGGTCATATTTCAAAATAGTTTTTTGGGGAGAAGGTATAGCTCATTAGTAGAGGGTTGTTTAGCACACAGGAGGTCCTGGGTTCAATCCCCAGTACCTCCATTAAAATAAATAAACCAACTAACCAACCAACCAACCAATCAACCTAATTACATCCTCCCCCACAAATTTTTTAAAAAGTAGTTTTTGTTTTCTTCTCACTATGCAAACCATCTTTCCAGATCAATAAACATAGTTCTGTAAGATCAACAGCTTTCTTATTTAAACCAATAAAAAGGTAGAAAGTAAAATCTACCCATAACAGGAAAAAAATCCATAAAACATATAAAAATATACTTGACAAGAAACGTGTAAGATCTATATGAAACAAACTATAAACACCAATAGGGATTATAAAAATAGACTTCATACACGTACAGTCTGGTCTTGTTCTGGGATAGGAAGACTTCATATAAGAAAGATAATTTAGCCCTAATGATTCATATCTTTAGTCAACTCCAATCACAATCTCAGGAAGTTTTTCTTTAACAAGCGATTCTAAAGTTCACTTGGAAGAAAAAAGGTTCAGGAACAGCTTGGACACTTTTGGAAATACAAAATAATGAATGTAAACAGGCCCATGTAATATTAACGTATATTATAAAGTTATAAGAATCAAAAAAGTATTTGGCACTGGCTCCAGAAAAGATACACAGATAAAGATAAATTAAGCACAATGGTCCAAATATTTTAAAATTTAAGGTGCCATAAATGTGGCATTTCAAAGCCAAAGTAAAACCACATTACCTGATGAACGGGAGCAGTGATTAACACTTAAAAGAAAGGGGGTTAACTACCTCACACATTACAACAAACTACAGTGAACCCTTGGACAACCTGGGGGCCAGGGACGCCAACTCCCCACCTCCACGCTGTGCATAAGAATATCCTCATATCATTTTAGTCTGTCCTCCATATCTGCAGATTTGACCAACTTCCCTCTGATTTCGTAGTATTTATTGAAAAAACTCTGCATGTAAGTGGACCAATGCAGTTCAAAGCCTATTGTTTGAGGGTCAACTGTACTTCCAGATGGATTAGAATTTAGAATAATAGAAACCACGACAGTGCCTAAAGAAAACCCAAGTGAATATTTGCGTAATTTGGAGGAAGATTTCCCTACACATGATACAAATGCAAAAACCATGTAATTTTATGTAAAGTCAATGAATGTTAAATTTAAGATTTTACATTTAAAAATGTAAAAACCTGTTTCCTGTTAAATAATCAATCATAAACACACACACACACACTCCAAGAGCAGGAAAATATACCTACAATAAAAATGTCATTTCCTCTGCATTACACTTTCATTTCATCTCATGTAATAAAAACTCCAACATTCTCATGAATAAAACTACACTGACATTCAAACCATTTCCTTAAGCAGACAGCCAAATTCACAATGTGATTTAAAACTTTCCTTTGTAGGGGGAGGGTATTTTCTCAGTGGCAGAGCACGTGCTTAGCATGCAGGAGGTCCTGACTTCGAGCCCCCATACCTCTGTTAAAAAAATAACAATAACAAATACATAAATAAACCTAACTACCCCCCTAAAAATTTTTTTTTAATTTCCTTTGTAATTTTGTCAAAAACTACTTGTGAAGTATAGCTGCATTTCAGTGGAGACTTATCAAGAGCAGAGACATGTCAAAATGAGGAAAAGTTGGCAGAGAACACACAGAGTTGAGCATTTCAGGTGGACCAAGTGTGATAAGCCATCAGTGTGGTAGTTGTAAAATTTTTCTGACATTTGTTACTCTGAACATACAGACTCGACCTTACTTTACTGATTTAGACAAATGTTTTTGAAAGTTGGCTCTTAAGGGAGAAGTCACCCCTTGAATGCTCTGTTGCATGACTCTTGGGTGTCCCTTGAGCAGATGAAGCCTAAGCCCCTCCCTGTACAGTGTGGCCCATTTTAACCTCATGGTGTGTCTTTACCGGGGCAGTTTCTGACCAGCGCTGAACTCTCCCCGAGAGCGCTCACATTTGTTTTCAGAAGGAAGGACCACCTTCATCATCATCGGGTAGTTCCACTCAGCATCAGGTTCTGGCGAGATTTCAAGGGAAAGGTGAAAGCAACGTTTACTTCCACTTACTGCGTGCCGGAAATCCTCTACAGCATACTGTCTTTCTGATGCATTCAGCACTCATTGCTGAGGCAACACACGCAGAAGTGGCAGGTCTGGACCACTGGTGCCACACAGTCCACCACTGAGCTGTGGGCACAGCCCCTCCAAGCAGAGGAGGGAGGAGGAGGAGCTAAGGCCTCAGGAGTCCCTGTTTACATCTCCGGTTCAAGCATGATACAGTTTCCCATCCAGAAATGAGGGCACCAGGGCCCACGAAGGACAAAATAGAGAGAAAGATAAATTCTCAGGGGCCAGTTGAAAAAAAACTCCCCCGATTGTACATCCCACCAGGGACAAAATATTTCAGCTTAACGTATTTGTGATATATTGTAATGGCTTTAAGCAGGACATGTGGCATATTCCCAATTTTGTTTTTTAAAGGCAATAAATATGTAACTATAACTACTAACTAAAAGAAAAGCACGAAATGTTAGCAGTGACTATTTCCTGTCGAAGGGCTCATGAATGATTTTCATTTGAAAAGATGATACTCTAAGCGGACCACAGCGTAAATGTTAAAATACAACATATTTTAAACCCAAGAGAACAGGCAAGTGGAGCACTGTCAGTCCAGCATCATGTGGTTGAAACAAATTAAACAGCCAATAATAATTAAAATAAAGCAAATAACGGATGTTTCAATGACAGCAAAAGTCATCAGAGCTAGGGGGGAAAAGGGATCATTTCTTTCCACTCCCTCCTTTTTTGGATGACTAGCGTGAGACCAGAAATCGTGAGTGACTGTTCCAAGGGCAGAGGTGGATTAGAGTCGGAGACAAGGGCCCCACCGCACCAGCCGCGGGCACAAGTTGTCCAGGGTTTTTGTTTCTTAGGAGAGAAGCCCTGGGAGGGAGAGCTGGGGAGCATGCTGGTTAAGAGGGGAGCCGGAGGACCAGGCTGGGGGGCAACCACAGGCCCCGCGG